TATACTCCTCTTATATTTTATAGCCTCTAGATATAGGCTATTTTATAATATTAAAATAAGCTTATAGCCGGCTAGTTAAATTTTAAATATAGTATAGATCGAATTATATTAATAAACTTAATTTCCTTAAAGTATACCTATTTATATAAATAGAGGCTTTTAAATCTAAGACTATTAAAAATAGCTTTAGAGTAGCTAGTTTAGTCCCTTTCTTACTAGAGAGAGTGATTTTAAAGCTTGATATTCGGCTTCGAACCCCTACCCCCCCCTCTAGCCAGGGTAGTGATTAGGATCTAAAAACACCTTCGAACTATATATAATTATAAAAGTAAGCCTCTTTAATAAAAGTACTACTTTATATAAGATCAAGGAGCCCCCTAAGCCCGCTTAATTCTGCTATAAACTAGGTTTTAAAAGCCTACCAGATCATAATACAATCCACCGTATTACTCGAGAAAGAAGTAAGCGATTTACGCGCTGAAAACGAGAAGAAAAAGTAGAAGCGAACTCGATCTACAAGGATAATAGTCCACAAAGGGGATCTCTCAGTTCAGGAGGTTCGTAAGCTACGTTCGGAGCCATTTAAGGCCCAAGTAGCGCGTATCAACAACTATTATAAGTAGGTTTCGGAAGGTTTAAGACCGCCCCCCTAAGCCGGACGAGCATGTGGAATATGTAGGAAGCCAGGGCATAGAAGAGAAACATGTCCAGATAGATGATTTTTTTTTTAAATTTAATTTAATGGCGTTTTGGTTGAGATAAATGCATTTGAAATTAGTAGGTTGGGTGGGGTGGCCGGCTCGCTTGTGTGGCCGGCTCGCTTGTGAAATACGTTATTCCAGTAGCAATGGCCACCACCTCAGTAGTTAACCGTACCTTCATGTAGGTATGCGTAACATATTGAAGCTACAAGCAAAACATATTTCTCTAGTATTCAAAATATTCCCAACATTCGCTTCCATCGCCGCAACATCACGCCCTGGGACTTCAGAAAATAAGAATCTGCCATCTTGATAACATATGCCGGGTTATGGTCGTAAAAGTGATTCTCAAGATCAAGGACCATTTGTTGCCTCTGGTGCGTAGTATACTTGAACCCTCGTTCATTTGAACAACACTGACAAGATAATGTGCAATGTCCAATCCCTTTAATCCGTTTGGTTGCTGATTGGCGAGTTTTACAACACCCACAGTTTCGACCGCAACAACCCCCTCTTCTCGCACAGTCTTCGACTAGTTCTTCCCGAAGATACCAAGCGGGACTTTGTCGTAAAATATCGTAAGAGCGTTTCACCGGCCCGATGGGAAGCATTGATTCGGCGAGGTAAAACTCCCACTCAGCCTTGGTATATTCCTGTGAGAGGTCCCTCAGCTGCTCATCATATCGTGCTTCTTCGTGCTTATCGGTTGCAATTTTTTCTGATACCCGAGCCTTAATCTTTAGAGCATGTTCCCGTTGAACAATTTCTCGGAGCACATATTCGGTTATCATAATATCCACAAAAACTCGGATATCGAAAATGAAGTTTTTGCCATATTTGAGTCGACGTATGAGAATGTCTTCACATCCTTCGAGTTTGGCGTACCTTTTGACAGGCCTGAATCCCATCTTATCTGCGAACATATCGTGGACTCCCCAATATTCCATGCTGAGACTGGATTGCTTGCACCAGTGAGTACAAAGGGAAAAAAAGTTGAAGAAGATCAAATGATCTAAATATCCCGTAGGAGTATGTGTGACAAAATAGTAGCAGGGCCGCTACTGAATCGGAGTTCGGCCAAACCCTAATTGACCCGAAAGAGAAATAGAAAAAGAAAAAGCGCAGTTACGTAATGATCGGGTCCAAACTAGACCCCCCAGGCAATCCCGGGCAATGCACCAACTTTCTTTCTTATTCATCAGATCTTCGATGAGTCTCCCCTGCTTGTTCAGGTGCTGATCTGAGATCTACGAGTATGGAATGTGACTAGGAACCATCGAGGTACAACCCCCGAGAACCGTGCAGCTTCTTGTACAGCTGCCGCAAAGAAACCTCGGAGTACAAAGAATGCTTCAAACCCCTTCAATCCTCAGGGCCTCAGACTTTTTCCGACGGGAAAGTCATTAAGGCCATTTCATACCGAGTCTGATCGCCGGGCTGGGTGACGTCGGCAAAGGATTTCCAGTAGCGGCCGAAACACTTATTGAAATACTTGGGCTTGGACCTAATTCAGGTCCCTCACTAGGGCATCACAAGCATTTAATCTAAATAAAGATTATTCCTCTATAGGAATTCCTAGTCCCCTCAACGCCGTACCTTAAATCGCTTACTTAGTTCCTTCGTATCGCGGAGCTATAGGGCCCAGAATCCACTGTAGTATAACCTCAATAGGTAGTAGCTTGTCCGTCTTAAAGACTATACCGATAGTACTAACGCCGGAATCTTTAATATAACTAGGGGTTTATATCTAGGTGGGAAACTTCGACTGGTTGACTGTAGTCCTATTATTGATTGCGTTGGAGCTACCAAAGCGTTTTTTCCAGGTAGACTTGAAAACTCCAGAAGCAATACATCGTAGCACCTCCTAGCAGCGATTGAACACCTCCAATTCTGTCTCTGGCGTATCTTTGAGTGGACTGAGATTGGGAGAGGGGAATCCGACTGTGTCACTTGGGAAAGTCACTCGGGAAAGTGAGATTTAGCTTCGTAAATTCTGATGTATGTTGTTGTAGAAACTTTTCCTGCTCTGATTTTGTCCGTTTTCCGTTCTCCTCTGCGGTATTTGCGTTGTAAACATTAACATCGGGTACCTGTATTAGAACACAAGCTTAGTCCAGGATCCTATTGAGCTTAAGTTCCTGTACTCACTGTCTTTTTGCTTGGCCTCGGAGAATTTACTTTCTTGCTGGCGGTTTGCATCCAAGTGGGAAAGTTCGACTGGTTGACTTGAGTCCCATTGTTGATTGCGTTGGAACTACCAAAGCGCTTTTTCCGGGTGGACTTGAAAAGCCAAGAGGTAAGATATCGTAACACCTCCCAGCAGCGATTGGATACCTTCACTTCTGTCTCTGGTGTATCTTTGCGAGTACGGGATATGAATGGAACCACCGAGATGCAACCCCTGAGAACTGCGCAGCTTGTCATTACCCAAAGTAGCTTTCTTCTCAAGGAGCCCTTTGGCGTTTTCCTCTCCTCAAAATGCGTCAACTTCGGGTTGGAGCTTCGTGTAAACCAGGAATTGGTCGTCGGTGTTGCGACGAATGAACTGCCGTACAGGTGGTGTGACACTCTCAGTTCTTCTGGGGCGAAAAAGCGACTCCGTGGTGGCATTTGGATTCGAAGGCTTGAACCTGCTAGGGAAGATTGGTCCCGTGCCGGCTCTAAGCCCCGCGACAGGGGAGACATAAGGTGAGCAGGCCGGTATATATGATGCTGGGCCATGTTGGAAGTAGTACCTCGAGATGCGTGTTGGCTGAAAACTCCGAAAGATCGGTCCCCAACCCTAGGGCATCTAGATATATGGTGTTAGCTCTAGATGTTGAGGCTTCAAGGAGTGAAAACTCGCCAGGGAGAAGAGTGAACACAGTGGTGAGAGAAGAGTGAACACAGTGGTGAGAGGGGAAGAGAGGGGAAGAGAGTATGGAGGTCTCTGTGGAATGAGACAGGATTGAATAGAAATTTTCTAGGATTTGAATGATATAAGAGACAAACCAAATGGGGTCAGCGGCGATTACATCTGAGTACGTAATCTTCTGTTTACACACCTGAAACACTACAGCACTCGATTCTATGTTTCTCGACAAACAGGCCCATCCCAACGCATTTCAGCCTGCCCAAAAACCCACTTTAGATCTACCGAGGGACTCAGGCTGGCTACTAGGAAAACGAGGGTGATATGTGATATGACCAGTTTCCAGCTGGCACTCAGCGCTCAAGAGCCAGCAATCGAGCCTTTGCTGCTGAAGCTACTCCAAGGTGCATACCCAGACAATGGCGGAGCAAATCCAAAATCTGACTGCTCCTTTGTTTACAGAAATTCCATCCTAAAACACCAAATCCGTGATTATACAAATTTCGCTCTTGAGAAAGAAGGCCCTGCGGGCATTGAGTACCCACATACAAGCAACCGAGCTGAACTACGAGCTGTCATTGCTGCTACGCAATCTCCACACTGGGTTGCTGAAGGATGTCGCTGTCTAGTTATTGCCACGGATTCGGAATACGTGGCGAATGGTGTGACTCGATGAGCAAAAGGATAGGTACGGAAGGACTGGAAAACGAAAGTGGGAGCGCCTGTTAAAAAAAAACCAGGACCTTTGGCAGTGCTTACTAGGGGAGGTGGAACGGTGGGATGAGGAAGTAATGCGTATTCAATTCTGGCGTATTCCTAGAGGATTGAATACAAAGGCGGATCGATATGCTAAAGAAGCTACTTGTAAGGGTGTATTTCAAGAATTCCGCGGTCCCTTTAGCATCGTTATTTAAGAGCATCTGAGCACAGAGTTGTCAGATCTACCAGCCGGCAGGTTCAAAATCAACCTTGGAAGTTGTTGACTCTAAATTGACCTGAGGAAATGGCCGTGGGGAAACCGTTTCCAAGATCCTTCTGGATTCTATTATTGCATCAATGAATCTTCCAAACCTGTTGTCTGACGATTATTAACTAAAGCTTGTTGGGCAAGCCTATGATATATCCCTGGGGAAAGTAAACTAGGCGCTAGCTTGGGATAGCTTAGGGAGCTTGCTGGGTAGGACTTGGACGACTTCACTGATACCAGTTGATTTTTTTTTTCTTTTTTACAATATCTTATATTCGAAGAAACGTGCAGTCATTAAAGAACAATATCATTAATCTATCCACTCCTTTATGCTGGTGGCCCATCTAAGGTAACGGACCTTTTATTTGAACACCCAGCCCCAAGCCCAAAGTATGTAAACAAATGATAACTCCCAGCCATGCAAATTACGAAATCCATGTAACTCCCTGTGTGCTAATGCTTTTTGTATACCAAGGGATCGTCAGAAAAAGTCTTGTTCGCCTAGCCATTGCGAGTCCATCGCGTAGGCCACCAAATCCGCGGCGCAACACATGTCTTCATGTCCATGCTCCAAATCGAGCAGTTCGAGGACGGCATTCAGCCTGTCATCGAGTGTTTGCTTGAGCCGTGAGATACCAGCCTGCATTTCTTTGGTTTGTCTCTCCTTGACGAGGGACCCGACCATGTTTTGGTCTTTCCCTTTCGCTGTCTCCGGTTTCGGTGTCATCTTGTTGGGCGAGCAAGATGCAAGAGCCTTTCGTTGTGGCTGTGCAGGCAATGCTTCAGGTTTGCGGTTCTTGAACAGACTCTGGAGCAGGAACAGTAGCCAGACCAAGTTGGTGCGTGGGGAGTATTCTGCCCAGATGCCAGGAATATCCGCCACCTTTTCTGTTTCTATAGGGCAACCAGTATAGAGTGTTGCGCGCATACTGATTTTTAATATTAGCAAGCTGCTTAAGAGAGTGAATGATTAGGCATGGGGCAGCATACTATCGGTAGGTGTTTCTTTGCATAATCTCGTCTTCATCTTGTCCAATGGCATCGAACAATTGCTTCTTGTCCAGATCTGAGGACGCAACTTCAGTGAGACCGGCGGGATCATCGGTCAGGAGGAGATCCGCCCGAGAGAGCGAGTAGTCGATAATGGTAGTTTCAAGGGAGCTGATTCCAAATCCACTGGAGGATCGCTGTCGTGCAACATCGTGTTCTGTGGGGGGATCTATGCAACCATCTTCCCGCGTAGAACGTATGCAAACATTTCCTAAATGAAGATCTCGATGTTCGAACATAGCATACTCCTCTGCCCGGGCCAAAGCCATGGCAACTCCCCAAAAGATATCATAGATCTGGAAAATCGACGACCATGCGAACTTTTCCAGTTCACATCCCGCATCGTCCATCTCCACGATCGCCCATAGCTGCGTATCGGGATAAGCTCTTTTGTTGGACGGGTTAGGATTCATGCAGTCGTCTTTGGTCTTCTTATAGTGGTCCCATGCATTTTGGAATGACTCTGGGAAACGACCTTGAACAACATGAATCTCTCTGAAGCGAGCAAACCCAGGGATCGGGTCCAGGTACTTGAGCATCTTGACCTCAGCAACAATCTCATCAATGGTGGTGAACTTTTTGGATCCGAGACCACTCTTTGCGCGCAGAGGCACAACCTTGAAGACTCCATCGCCATATGATTTCAGTTTAGCCAACTTTGATTTTGACACCGCTGTCTTACAAACTTCTTCCCGTAGGTGAAGTTTGTAAACTTCACCGTAGGATCCCTCTGCGAGTTTTGCGACATCGAACATGTTCGCTGATCGCGAAGCCCATGAGTCGAACTTCTGAATACCTTGCGCAGCAATTGGAGATAGTGCCTCATTCAAAATTGGGCTAACATACTCGCTGGCTTTGCTGTCATGGACAACTCCAGATGACCGTCTGGACGCAGGAATCTTCTTTCTTTCCGCTCTCCTTCTGTCGGAAGATGTACTTGGCTTTTCTCGATCCTCGCTCGTGGACTCTGATGTCGTAGTTGGGGAATCTGATGTGACTTGAGGGAGATTTTCTGGAGCCTGTGGGCATATTCTGACCTCCACCATCGTTTCGCATTGCTTCTGTTTTGGCTTTGTGTCCTCCAGGGAGGACTCGACGGAGGATTGCGTTGTCGGAGTGTCCGAAGTATCCTCTATCGTGGATGGACTCGATTCATTGGAGGGGATTTCCGTCAAATATTGCTCCTCGCTTTTAGTCTTTGGAGGTTCTGCATGATTGTCTGGTTGAGGGGTTGGGTCGTCATCGATTGTCACTTGGGCTAGTTTCGCCTGGAGGCTTCCCACGGGGTCGACATGTTGGGTCTTGGATTTGGTCTCTCTGGCGGGACTTCCTTGATCGAATACTGCCCTGGGGGCATTGGCTTTTCGTTTCCCGTACACTCTGCGCTGAGCCACTGACTTGGGCTTGGGTTGTTTGGGCTCCATTGGTGTCGCGTGACTTGAAACTGGCGAGGGTGACCGGGTTGACATTGTCGGGGGGGATTTATACACCCAGTATATTAATCCGGGGTGTAGAATACCTGTGTTTGGGGGTTTCAGGATGGTTCTGTTCGACAGAATGAGGCCGAGAATGATGATCTGGGCCAGCGGTAATGGATCGTGTTGACGTTTAGCCTAATTGGGATTAGCGTAGAGTTGCTGCGGTGAAAACTTTTTGCCTTTGGCCTCGACGTTGTAGACTGATATTGGACTGATATTAGACTGTTGTATACTTTCTATATAGATCTTGTATTGATCTTATGGGCTATTAAATGTATAAGCAAATTGTTGTGATTGTATTTTGAAAGAAACATTAGGAAATTGTTCAAGAATACGGCAGAATTCCGGGGGAAGTGTATACTTCTACAACCCTTAGAGTATATATGCGACAAATTTCAGGCTTTATACGGAGTACCAGGGATACAATTCTTATTTTAATTGCATTACTCTGACATCTTGACTAGACTTTCCCTCGGAATCTTTCCCTTACATCCTACATGAAACGAACGTGGGACTCTGACCTTTGAAGATCTGCAGCCCCGTGCCTGTTTTTGTAAGTTATACATAGTAGGACACCTTCAAGTTCAGAGACACTTCCCGTGTTTTCCCCCCTTTCTCCAGATTTCGGGGCAGAATGGTCATAAAGTACTCCGTACTCCGTATTCAATAAAGCCCAAGAGTCTAGATACATGCAAGCCGGATTGCTCTGACCGGTGAATGGCCTAGTACTATCCACAGTGGACATCAAGGTCGGGGCTGACCGGAAGTGGTTCCTGCAAGTCACATTGTGACGTACCGGGTATCCCTATGGCACCGAAGGAATATATTATCAAGAAGAAAAAGAAAACAGAAGAAAAGGAAGAACACTAGTGGAATGATACATCCAATTAATCCTTTTTTAACAAAACACTAAAGAAAATCTAAAAAGAAAAAAAAATCATAAAAAGTCTAGTGACTCGGAAGCACGCGCCTCGGGTGTGCACTTTGCCTTTTTTTTTTTTCCTTTTCGTTTTCCGCCTCCCGCCTCTCCCTCTTTTACCCTCACATCTCATCTAATGTCCTTGTAATACCTTTTTTTAATACTCTTCTCGATGCTTGGGCATGGCGTTCAACTTCAACTGGTCGCCTTTGATGGCGGACGCGAGTTTTTATACTCGCGCCCAAGATCTGCTCACTGCCGCCCTTAATAAATCGCCAAAACCCCCCATAATCGTCGACGATATTCACGTCACCGAGTTGAACCTGGGATCCATTCCCCCCGAACTCGAGATTTTGGAAATCGGTGACTTGGCTGAAGATCGCTTTCGAGGCATCTTTAAAATGTCTTATACCGGCGACGCCTTTCTCACCTTGAAAACCCGAGTTCAGGCGAATCCACTCAATACCTTCCTCGTCACACGACCAACTTTCGGTTCGCCAGTACCTCTTGCTGCAGCGTAAGTATTCGGTCTCACTTCTCTCTGCTTTGGCTCCAACCTCTCAGATGTGCCGTGCCTACTGACACTGTCGCGATTTTAGTACCCCGCTCACCATTCCTCTACAAATCACCCTCTCCGACTTTAAACTCTCTGGATTCGTCATACTAGTATTCTCAAAACAAAAAGGAATCACAGTCGTGTTCCGTAATGATCCGCTTGAGTCGCTCAAGGTTTCCTCGACCTTCGATTCGATCCCGTTCGTGCGCGACTTCCTACAAAAAGAAATTGAAGCTCAGCTCCGGATATTGTTCATGGACGAGCTCCCCGCCATCATCCATCGACTTTCGCTTCGGTTATGGGTTCCAGAATATCGCACAGGGGAGGAAATGAACGACGAGACCGATAACACAGCCAAGTCACGCAGCGAAGGGCCCGGCCAAGATCCTCTCGCTAGTCCGCCACAGGATCCCGTCGACTCACTCGGAAATGCATTGAATGAGTCGGAAATCGCGTCGCTCTCTTTGGATTCATCGGTCGAGACCCACTCCCTTTTCTCGCAAAAGAACCTCCTTCGCTTGGCCGCCCTGACAGACTCACAACGTACCCTGTCGTTGTTCACTCCCTCGATCCAGGAAGTGGTGTACCGAGCATGGACTTCTCCAACTGATACCAGTGATATTCATTCGAGCGTGATTTCTCCACTGAGCCCGACCCTTTCGCGAGCACACTCCCAGATGGGAAGCATGTCTTCACTTCACGAAACCGCTAGCACTGTCTCCATGCAAAGTCGACCATCCATGTCCAGCCAGTCATTCAGTACTAGTACCTATGGTCTGAGCCTAGGCGCTGGACGTCATTCTAAGGCCCATGCCCGGAAACGCAAGAAGCGTGTTGTGGATCTGCGCCGCCCTAAGACAACCGATGACGTTATGAGTGTTAGCGATGAGAGTGTTGTGACTGAGTCGTCTAGACCCCCTTCTATAGCCTCCGCGCCTCTCCCTATTGTGAATGAGCCGTCAGATGACCCAGTCACACCACCTCTGTCACCCGAAGCCGACTCCCATTTGCCCGTTATCCCCGAAAGGCATTTGGCCAGCTTTTCCCGCCCAACCCGTCGGGATGGGGACTTATCATATTCCCATGAGACCATCCGCGGACCCAAAACAGAGGACGTGGAAGCGACCCCTCGTGCTACTGTGCGTGGCTATCCCCAGGAGAAGGCGGAGCCGGGACCATCTAGCAGTCAGCGACCCCAGTTGCCTGCGACTGTTCTTCCGTTCAGCAAAGACGAGAACGCCAATGAAAGCGTCGATTCCGTCCTGGTTGAGAGACTCGCCGGTGAAATCGCTCGTCGGATGCGCGAGGACAAGCTTATGACAAATGCATGCAGCGGTTTCTGGAGCCGTCAGCACGAAGACAGTCCTCCCCCAGCGTACGGCCACTGAGCGCTTACATTTTCCCCCCACACTTGAGTAACCCTCGAGCATGACCGTTACGATTTCCTTACTTTTCCTTTCTTTTTCCTACCGTTTCTTGGTTTTGTTGTTCTTTCTTTTTTTTTGGGCTAACTGATGTTTCTTTGGAGCGGGATTGTACAAAATTGGGGTCTGTCATGGTACAGCTGGCGTTGAGTTTTGTCCGGGGGTTTCATTTTTACATGATACCACACTCATTAGCCATCATTATTTTTGTATTTCTTATTTTATGGGTTATCGAAGGTACCTAGAGAAGATTGGATATTTGGAGTTTATCAATTATATTTCTCTTTGTCAATTGCTTCAATTTGCTCCAATCGCATAAATCGCCTAATTATCTCCGATGCGGGTCAAAAAGCTGGAGACAGCGCTAGACCCGGGAGGAACTTAGCTCCGCACCGGGCACCACGAACCGGACATCTCTCGATTCCTTCCCACTCCTTTCCCTTCCATCCATATCACATCAATCCCAATATGGCGGGCATGTTCAAGAACGTGTTTGGCTCTCAGCCTAAGCCCGATGATGGTATGTTAATTGATATATCTCAATTGCTGAGCTAACTCTGGTAGACTTCGCCGACTTCGTGGAAGCTCCCAACCCGTCGCCTGCCTCCCTCCTCGCCGACTCGACCGTCGTCCCAGCTGCCAACACACTGGCCGCTCAGGCGGTCCCCTACACGGCTTGGTACCGAGTATGGGAGAGGACATCCCCGAGCGATTTCAAGCAGGAGGCAATGATCATGCCCGTCATCCTCTTGATTGTCCTCTTCCACCTCTGGGGAACGCGCAAGAACCGACGTAGGGCGAGGGACTGGGCGCAGGCCCATGGACCTTCTCTTCAGAAGGAGTTTGCCGTTGTCGGATTTGATGGAATCGCCCGACCGGCTCCCGTGGAAGGCGAGATCACCGTGGAGCTCGCCAACCCCGAGTCGCTCTTGAAGGAGAGATCTGCCTCCGAATTCGCCGCGTATGCGACTGGCCGCCAGAACGTTGCCTTCCTCGACGTTAACATCAAGATGCCCAAGCGATACAACCCTATCACCTTCGTCATGGAGTATGCCTTCAGCTTCTTCTTTGAGAGCTGGGAGCCCCCCGTTGAGAAATATGAGGCTCTGCTGTATGCTTTCGATGGCAAGGAGAAGGACTTCGTTCCCGTTCTCGCTAAGGATTCTGTCCCCGTTAAGGTGCCTAGCTCGACTTACGACGGCTTCATCTGGGCTGTTGTGCACAAGAGCCACATGCGCAAGTTCCGCAACGACCGCTACGATGCCTCTATCACTTTCTCTAAGGACAACCCCAAGCTCCCCTCGTGGGTGACCGTGATGACTGAGAGTGCCGAGATTAGCGATACCCTCCTCACCCCGGAGTTGATCCAGGCCATTGAGCAGGCTGGTAATGACTTTGAGTACTTGATCGTCACGGACCAGCCCGTCGACAGACCCACTAAGTAAGTAGCATCAGTGCGGGACTTTGATCATATCAGTTGCTAACAAATGTGTGTTCCCAGGATCGAAGAGACCATCCCCAAGAAGCGCATCCAGCTCTCCGCTAACCTCGCCTCCTCCGCGTCCGGCTACGCCTCCACTCTCCCTCTCTTCAACCAGTTCCTGCGCTTGTCCGACAAGCTGGTCGCCTCCGCCCACTTCCGTGGCGAAGTCATGCGCAAGGTCCGTAACGTCCGCGAAGAGGAGATCAAGAAGCTGCGCCGTGTCGACGAGGAAGAGAAGGCCGAGGAGCGCCGCATTGCCGCTGAGAAGATTAAGAAGGATGAGCGTGAGCGCATCCTGCGTGGATTGAGCGCCGAAGAGCAGCGCAAGTTCCTTGACCGTGAGGCTCAGAAGGGACAGAGACGCCAGGCAAAGAAGAGCACCCGCAAGGGTTAAACGGGGTGTCTTGTGTTCTGGAGGATTTTTATTCTGTCTTCTTGCACCTTTCTGTGGGAAAGCTGTGGGTTGAATGTTTTATCCTGCCCTTTTGATACCTTTTTAATTTGATGTATTCATATTTATTTGTGGAAGATATAATATCTACCATAGAATTGGGGATGCAATCTTCAAACGTTCAGCTATATTCAATTCAGATTTTATGTTCAGCTTATTGAAGTGTGCGTCTGATTTGGATCCCAGGAAGCAGCGAAGTAGATCCTTGCTGTCCCATACCTCGCCAACATCTCAACCTCAGCTCATTACTCCAATCCAACATCCACAGTCATTTGAGTTATCCTTATATACTCCGTCCTGGTTCATTCATTAATCGCAATGCATTTCCTCGCCCCCTTAATTCCATTCCTTCTTTCGGCTACAACCCTATCCCAAGCCGCTCCCACAGGGAACAGTATCAAAACCGATACCACCAACATCACCCAGATCAACGCCTCCAAATTACCCGTCGGAGCCATAATCACCCACTGTACCACTCCAGGCACAATCGCCCTTACTTTTGATGATGGCCCGTACATCTACACCCCCCAGATACTAGATACACTCGCCGAACATGGCGTAAGAGCAACCTTCTTCCTCAACGGCCATAACAGAGGAAACATCGATACCTCCCCCGAGATAGTTCAGCGTGCATGGATGGAAGGACACCAGCTGGGGTCTCATACGTTCGTTTATACTACCCACCTATCCACCCAATCTCTCTCTCCCAGCCCGGCCCAGCCCGGCCGGTCCAAGCACCAACATATACTAACCAAATAACCATCCAGATGGAATCACCCATCCCTCGACACCCTGCCATACGAAGAAATCGTGCACCAAATGACAATCCTCGAAGAAGCCTTCCTGCGCATCCTAGGCTTCTTCCCGACCTACATGCGCCCCCCGTTCCTCAGACATACGCCCGTCGTTCTCGGCGCCATGACTGATCTGGGATACCATGTCATTGGGGCGAGTGTTGACACGAAGGACTTTGAGAATGATAATCCTGATACAAACTGGATTAGTTTTGAGAAGTTCAAGAGGGAGGTTGATGCCGGTGGGACGATTGTGTTGGCGCATGATGCACATCAGTATACCGTCGAGATTTTAGTCGATAATATGCTTGCGGATGTTGAGAGGAGGGGGTTGAGAGGTATGTTTTTTCTTTTTTCTTTTTTCTTTTCCTTTTTCTCGGTGGCTATGGGCTGAGGCTAACAGGTTTACGTGATAGCTGTTACTGTTGGCGAGTGTCTTGGTGATCCGCCTGAGTATTGGTACCGTGCTGGGAGGTAGATGGTCTGTGTTGATAGGAGGTGTGTTTTAATTTCCTGAATGTTTTGAGCGGTTGTTTCTTTTTGGTCTTTGTACTTGGGCCAAGGGCTGCCTGTGTATAGAATCCCTAGGTTTCATTGAACTTGTATGTTATTCTTGACGAGGCTTTCTATATACATGCATGCATGGCTAGTGTAACTCTAGGCTAATAATATGGACCACCTATCTTTATATAAGAACTGGTGTCTACGGTTTTCATAACCATTTCGCACCTCCCTTCACGACACTTCGTCAATCCACACTTTACCTTCAACTCGATGCTTATCTTCCCCTGGATACTAGACTTTTCAAGTGGTCACGCGGCTATCACTGCCTTGGTATATCTGTTTAATATCACCTATCCTACTCCATTCCACACCATATCCCTACACGAGTAGACTAGCTAGATGTCTCAGAGGGGCGGGAAGCTGACGTACGGGACACTGGTAGGTAAGCTAGGTGTCATAGAGGGACTAATGTGTGGCACCTCGGTGGGCAAGCTAGGTGTTGTAAAGGGAAACGCGGTTGGCGTGGCCTGCATCTTCAGTAGGGTGGGGATGGGCGTGCTAGATAGGCTTGCAAATAGAATATCCTAATTGTCTGCATTTTTACATTTTCGCATACGAAATACATGACTTTGCCCTCTATTACCTGAACTTATGGAAATAAACTAGTTTAATTTCTTGTCGAGGAACATGCCACAGCCATCATAAACCGTCTATCAGTTTCCGGCCCAGTGGCTATGCCCGTGATAGAAGCGTATGTATTCGATTTTTTTTTTCTATTCTAGCGGAAAGGGCCCGCTTCCAAATGCTTCCGACCTTTCGTACCGGGGGCAATAAGCCCTAGTTGATTAGATGCATCCATATGTTATGTACTGACAGTCCCAGGGAGGACGAAACAAACAGCCCAGCCGCAACCCCGAGACAAAAAGAAAGAAAACGCCTTTTCAAAATAATCGACAAACGCTTTTCGGCCCTATGCTTTTCCACAGTCGAGACAATGATCTGTCTCAACCGGTGTAGTAGAAAAGAGATGTCGTCAGTTCATTTCGTAAATTCGTACACTTAGAGTGCAGATCCAGCACCAGCACGGAAGAGCTTCACCATCAACTCGGGGCGGCTCCAGAGCGAGAAGGACTTCTGGTCAGTCCAGCTCAGAGACTCAGAGAGCAGCTCCAGGTCGAAGTTCCACAAGAGCTTCGCAAGCAGGAGACGCATCTCGGCGTTCGCAAGGCTGTAGATTAATTGTTAGCAAACACTGCCAGGTACGACTCAGGCGAAAACACAGATGGGGTAAGTGGGTAGTAATGGAATAGGTGCTTACTGTTGACCGAGACAGTTCCGTGGACCGTAGGAGTAAGGCTGGAAGACCTCCTTCTTGTCGTTGCTGTACTCGTCAGACTCGTTCAGCCAGCGTTCTGGGACGAATTCCTCGGGGTTCTTGAAGTGCGAGGCTGCGTGGAAGGCGGAGTACAGCGAGATGGAGACGGAGACCTGTTTGCATTCAACTGCTGTCAGTATCAAGACTATCAAATTGGAATCGTGTTTTGTGTGTTGAGGTGGGAATAGTGAAGATGGAACTGTCTTAGTAGAACTAGCTCCATGCACTTCTCATATTGTCCACAAAATACTACACACTAGGGCTAGGGCTAGGATTAGGATTTTGTACTCACATTTCCAGGAACGTATTGGCCATTAATCATTGCTCCGCCTTCGGGGACAATGCGCGGAAGCATAGAAGGAATTGGCGGGTAGATGCGCATCGCTTCAGTCAGGACAGCGTTCAGGTACGGGAGGTCCACAAGGGTGGACAGCTTGATATCAGCGTCCTTTTCGAAAGCATCACGAATCTCCCGGATCAAGCGCTGGTACTTGTCACGGCAGCGCAAAAGGTAGTATGTCACACCAGAGAGCAGGGCAGCGGTAGTCTCACTACCAGCCAGGACGAACACGGCCGAGTTTGCATCCATCTCCTCAGGCGACATACCCTTTCCATCCTTGGCGTGCTTGAGGATGTAAGAAGTAAAATCTGGGCGGGTAGCACCGAGGGCAAGACGACGACGGACCTTCTCAACGCTCAGGTCGAAGCTAGCTTGGCGTTTCTGGAGAAGATGCTTGGGAACCAGGACGCGGACCAGGGGAACGAGGAAAGGGTAGAACCAAAAGACCTTGAGGTAGGCACTTGCCTTGACGGCATCCAGAATAATTCGAACCCACCAGTGGTATGTGCTGGCTGACAAGCAGCCGAAGGGTTCTCCAAAAGCGAGGTCGCCAATGAGGTCGAAGGTGGTGAAATTAAACCAGCAGGTGATGTCAATGTTTTGAGACACGGAACTTCCCATGAGACCCTTGAGCTTTTCGATGAACATGCTAGCGTACATCTGGAGGATTTCTTCCTGCTCGCGCAGGGCTTTGTTGGAAAAAGCGTGGGTCAGCAAACGGCGCATCCGGGAGTGATCATCTTCATTGGCTGTGATGATTGCATTGACACCGTTGGGAGTGGGTGCATACAAAGCCGGATCCTTGACGAAGACCTTCTGTCCCTTCTTGCGGTGACCGTAGATATCCTTCCAGGCGGGTGCGGCACGGTAAACGAGGGCATTGGGGGCAATACGGACCACGTCTCCATACTTGTCGTGGAGATGTTTCATAGTCGAGTGCTGCTTACCCTGTATATCCCAGATGAGGTGGACCAAAGGAGTGATGGCAGCCAGCTTAGGGCCAGGGTAACCACTCAGAGGGTGGAAGCAGAGAGTGTGGATTATCCAGCCCACATAATAGACACACAGCTGTGGGTTTTGATTGAAATGAGACACGCACTCCTTCAATATTTGGTCTCGTATATCAGTACTTACCAAGACAAGGAGTCCACTCAGCAGACTCCAGAATGAGGGGACGGCTAGGGCATGGCACCAGCTGCCCATAGCCAAGGAATCGAAAACCATGATCAACAACAACTAGAGACTGTAAGATATACGACCAAAGACATCCAAGGATGTTATTCTTACTGAAAGACAACCGAAAAACAAAGGTCAAAGGAGGGAGTAGTGTGGGGGAGGGAAGAAGAGAGGAGAAGGAAGAGAGAAGAAGGATGAAGGAACTGACCAGGAGGGGACCGGGGGTGGGCAAACGACAGATGGGATGACAGGAGACTTACAATAGGAGTTGACTGGGGGACGTAAAATGGTAGGGGACTGTTTAGTGGAGAGCTTTTAGAGTCCCAAGTGACTGTGCGTTTAAGAATGATTGAAACCGCGTAGGAGACAGCCGGCAAACTTCGACTTGAAGTCTCAAGTTAGGGCTCCTACTCAAACGGAAAACAGGGGCCACATTAAAGGGCTCAATGGCTCACCTAACAAAGAAGTACTCATGCTGAGATCAAGTAATGGGAGAATTCTTATGGCTCGTCATTCATTATATTTGGGTCTACTAGATGGCAACAAATTATATAGCACCGAAATCAACCACTGGCAACAGAAAAACTCAACAAGCTCCCAGCAGCCAGTCCACCAACAAGAACCAGGCTCATAAATCCACCAGCAGCCGGCCTTTCATCGGCAACAACCCAGTGACTAGCACCCATCATACAGCTTGTCCCCAGGTACCCATTGGTTGCACCAAAGAAGAACTGTACAAGGAAATAGAAAACGTCACTCTTGACGGTAGCACCTTGGCCGTTGACGTTGCAGAGCTGGTACATGGGAATGAAAATAACACGGGCAATGGCCACAATGGCAGCCATCTGAGGATGTTGCCCCAAGGACACTCCTGGAATAGCCACGCACATTCTCCCAGCCAAGTCACCCAGGTTCCAAATCAAGAAAGCCAAGGGAACAAAGACACTAGGATCGTAGATCCGTGAACTTGCAGGGTCGTTGACAGACTGGATTTCCGCAGTGTAGACTGGGAAGACCATAGACACCAAAAAGCAGACGAACACAGCGAATGCCAGGAACCGCAGCTTAACGAACAAAGTCCAGAGGCTGACAGTTTTGGAATGTTCGCGGTCATCCGCAATAGACTCATCATCGTCTCTTGTCGACTTTTGCGTCGAAGAAGGTTGTTGCCTCAGAAGATAGAGGAAGGCCAGCAGAGCAATGACCGAGACACCCGTAGAGGTTAGAAAGTAAATAAACGCTGACGTCGACGCACTCGTCTGAGGCATGCTAGGATCTTGATCTTTACCAATGCTATCCTCCTTTGGTGGCACAGCTAGCACAGAGAAAATCTGAACAATGCAGGGCAGCACACCGGCAACACCCTGTCCACTCATAATAGCCTGGGTATATTCCTCCCTTCCATACCCGGAGACGTATGCAAACACGCCATTCTGGTTGATACCAGTGGCCAGACTCGCGGCGCACACCATCACCATCAGGAAGCCAAAGTACGTCCGCGGTGAGGAATCGGTCATGACGACTGCCGAGAAGGCCAGAATAGTGAACACAACAGAGTTCATCAACAGCGAAAACGTTATCCGCCGTGGATAGGAGGCGTTCTTCTGTAGCTTTGCTAGGGCATAGGCGGCTCCGAGGTTGGTGACAGTTGACATGGACTGAATCGACGGTTGGTAGTGTAGTCTTGTCCAGTCATCCGACTGGAATCGGCTGTAGAAATATGGTGCCGCGGCAAGGAACATGTTCCTAGATTGTGCTCTACGTTAGTTACGGTTGGCCCAACACATATAGCTTGCTCCTCCATTCCCGGAGACTGTTGGGTTTACTTACCAGGCCCACAGCATAGACACTCCGAGGAGGAAGAATATTCCATACTGTAATCTTGAAAAAGGAGGCTGCTGGTGTCGCTCCGTGTATGTCGTCTCATCGGCGTCGTCTGCGGCGGAGTCCTGCAGTCGCTCATACGCCGCTGGACGGGCGATGAGACTACGTATGCGGTTCATGGCTGTCTTATTCAATCCCTACCCCTTATGTATAAGTAAAAGGTTCGTTAAAATAAGGGGGTTATCTCATAGCAAAGAGC